ATATGCTACATCATAAATGAACCTTGAGGACATTATGGTAAGTAAAATAAGCCAGTCACAAAAAGACAATTACTATATGATTCCATTTATATGAGGTATGTAGAATAGTCATATTCATATAGATAGAAAGTAGAATAGTGGTTGCCAGGGGTTGGGGAGAGGGGAGAATGTGAAGTTATTATTTAATGGGCATAGTTTCAGTTTTGTGATATAAAGAGTTCTAGAGATGGATTATAGTGATGGCTGCACAACAGTAAGAATGCATTTAACATTACTGAACTGTACACTTAAAATGGGTAAGATTGTAAGTTTTAAGTTATGTATATTTTACCAAAACAAAAATTTAGAAAGTAATTTTATAGGATTTTGCTGTATTCAGTACCAGGAAAAAAAAAAAGATTAATAAACTTATAGTCCAATACAGAAGACAGAGTATAATCAAATAATAACAGTCAGCTAAGTTCTTTATGTGGTCTGTGGAAAGTCATTGGGTAGCATGATTGCACAGAGATAAGGGAATCAATAACATTGTCCATTGGGAATGGAAATTGGCATGCATAGGAAATAGGGTAGTTATATCTTCAAAAGCTTCAAGGAAGAGTTGATATTTGAGCTGGGCTTGAAAGGCAAATAAGAATTTGGTAGGATAGCACAGAAGGTGCTCCAAGCAGAAGAACAGTGGTATTGGAAGGATGGAACATCTGTAAATGGAGAACATTTCTCTCTGGTTGAAACATAGGACCAAGGGAGGAGAGTGGTAGAAGAGGATGTTAGTGAGATAGGTAGGTGGAGGCCACAGTGTCCACCATGTTAGAGGGTTTGGATTTCATTCTAAACCCATGGTCTTAACCAGAAATGAGCTTCAGGATCAGTTGTGGAGCTTTGTAAAGTAGATATGCTGGGATTTGTCACCCAGAGATTTGGTTTATTATGTCCAGAGAAGACATGTTCTCCACTTTTTCATGTTGTCACAGGTGCATAGTGATCTGGGTGATGCAGGTAAGCTCCCAGAATCTCTATTGTAGGTAATAAGACATGATGAAAGGTTTTATTTTTTTAAGATGAGAGACATGTCAAGGTTCCCTTAGCTCTGATGGCGATATGATGGGTCACCCAGAGAGAGCGGAACTTGACAGTAAGAAGACAAGATAGAAGGCTCCTAAAGTGTCGAATGCTAAGGCTTCTCAAAAGCTAATGCGCGTCTGGATTAAGACAGTGGCAGTAGGGACAAAGGAGAGGAATAATTTAAGAGGCATTCAGAAAGTCAAAACTATTGGACATGGTGGTCAATGAGATGTAATGGGTAAAAGAGGAAGAAACCAAAGCAGTGCTCAGATTTCTACCTCAGATAGCTGAGTGAGGGCGGATCCATGAACTGGAATAGTAAATGTTGGCATAGGTACGAACTACAATGTCTAGAAGATTGACTGCCAAAGAGTAGGTGCTCAGTAAATGTTTAATGAACCAATGACCATACAATTGTGGACGAAAAAAATGAGGAAGTAAGGGTTGGCGTATGGATGGGCTTTGTTGGTTTTTGACAGATCTACATGTCTGGGAAGGTAGAGTGAAAGGCTGTAAAATAGATATACAAAGCAGAGGGTGCAGCGAAAACAAAACAGAAGAAACCCCACAGGGTTGGAAAGTTGAGGTTGGGTTACAGAAGTGGATAGTTCAATTTGGCTCTAAAATAGTGAGAAATGAGACTGTCAAGATAGAATAGCTTCAGGATATGGTGTGTCTGAAAGTCTGAGGAAATTTCAATTAATTAGGCAGGTGATGATAAGTCATGGCTTTTGGGCAACGATCTTCCATGACCTTTAGGATCATGTTGTTTTGGAAGATGCTTATAGCAACAGTAGGATAGGATGGATTGGTATGTGAAGAAAGCTAATGGGAGAAAGATCAGATAGAAGGCTGCTATGAAGGTAGAAGCAAAAGATAATAATAAAAAATGGGGCAGGGCCGGCCGAGTGGCACGATGGTTAAGAACTGGCTTGGGACACCAGAGGGCCCCGGTTCGGATCCCACATATGAGGGCCAGTGACACTGCCCTCTACAGCTAAGATGCTGAACAACAGCTCAACCTGGAGCTGGGCTGCTGTGAGTCACCGGCGACAGTGTAGGCTGCAGTCCCTGTGGTAGTGGGTTGCCATGGGCTACCGTGTGTAGCCAGCAGCCAGCGTGAGCGGCCAGCAGCCGCAGTGAGCGGCTTTCCAGAAGCCGGTGACTAATGTGTCTCACCCGGGAAGAGCACAATGATGGTGCCAACTTAGGCCCTTGAAGCAATGTCCTCCACAACTAGACTGAAGAACAAAACGACAGCAACTTGTCTGTTCCCCTTCCCCCAATTCCCCAGCACTGTTCCCATCCCCCCAGTTCCCCAATAAAAATCTTTAAAACAAAAACAAAAACGGGGCAATGATGGTCACAGAAGAAATGGAAAGGCAGGAGCACATTCAAAGGGTATTCAGAACAAAACTATTATGCAATATCTGGCCCCAGATTGGGATGGCTGGAAATTAGAATTGGAGTCAGGGTGGAGCCTGGGTGACAAAGTGTTCTGATCTCAATGAATAGAAATAATAACGTCAAGAAGGTAAACAGTTTCATGAGAAGATAATTGATTCTGAGGAGATAGCGGGATGTTCAGGTGGAGAAATATTTTGGGCACCTGGAAATGCAACACTGCAGTTTAGGAGACAGATTACAGCTAAAAATTGACACCTGTGAGCCTTCCGGTATAAGTGATAAATGATATGCATGAGTAGATAGGATGGCCAAGGAAACAGAAGAAGCCCAAGGGGAAAACAACAACAGCAACACAGGGGTATGCTTACCCTTGGCTGGAAGAGGGAGGGAGGGAGGGAAATCTAGGAAGTAGACAGAGGAGCGGTTCTAGAGAGAGACGAGAGAAAACAGGAAAATTTGCCTCTCAGAAGACAGGAAACAGAGCTTCAAAAGGAAAGAGTGGGTAAATAAGGTCAAAGAGAGGATTCGAGTAGGAGGAGGACTGAGCTAGGGCAGTTGGTCTGTGGACAGGCAAGGGAGCCTAGATGGGGTTGAATTGGATTAACGGGTTACGGAACAGATGGTGTGGAGGAGGGCTTGAAGAAGCTGAACTTTTCCATGTCATTTGTGATGCAAGAGTCAGGGGCACTGACAGCATGGCCCCCGGCATTGTTGCCATTTGGTTGTAATGAACTCGATGCATCTTTCCATGTATTCTCAGTAGTCATATAACTTTCATTGAAAAGAGAGGGCAAGAAGTATGGATGCCAACAGCATTTGGGACCCTGAAATCTGGAATCTGATTCATGAACACTTGCTTCCTGGGAGCACTGGGCCTCAACATTTCCGGAGAGGAAATAGTCCAAGTTAAAATGACCATTTTGCATAGCAATATGTGTGCCAGAGCTATATGTGGCAATTAAGTACACATCACCACACTATTAATTGAACAAACCTTTTGTTACTAATTTGAAATGCTACTTTTATCATTAACTAAATCCCCATGTAGATCCACGTCTGTATCTGGACTTTCTATCTCATTCTATTTGGTACCAAACCTGCTGGTATATAATTGGGATTGCCTTGAGTTTATGAATTAATTTGAGAAGATCTGGCATTTTTACAATATTTTGTCTATTGAAAAACAGGGCACTTAAGCCTTCTTTTATGTCCCTCAATGGGAGATAATTATTTCTTTATGGAGGTCCCAAGCTTGTCTTTTTCAGTTTATAGCTATACATTTCTGAGTTGCTATTGTCAATGGTATTATTTTTTGCATCGTGTGTGTGACAGTGTATGGATAGGTGTAAATAAGAAAGATGTAGGTGTTTTCTCAAATGAGTGATTAACATTTAAAAGAAGCAACCTAAAGCAAATTAAATTTTGTAATAGCATCTGACTTTCACTGAGCAGATACCCATGTAAAAACAAAAAATCATTTTGGAATAATACCATTACATTAAACAGAAAAATAAAGGAGTGCAGTTTATTTCATCTTTGCATTTACTAAAGTTTCTTTGCATAAGACAAGCTGTGACTGTATTTGGAGTTAAAATGTGGTGTCTGTTCAGTCATCATCCCACCAGTGGGAGCTCCATTTTCCTCCTAACACCACACAAAGCTCTAGCTAAACTCTGGCACTTTTCACAGAAAAAAACAGCCCTGTTCAGCCCTGTTGCTTGAATTAATGACCACGGCCACATGCTTTGTAGTGTCTCCTCCCCAGGTGCTGGTGGAATAGGCTGAAGGAAGCTTAGCCTCAGCAGCGAGCCCCCCAACACCGTGGTGGACAGAGGTGTTCTCAGAAAGTTTGATGTAGCCAGGCAGGAGTCAGAAGGGGTTTGGTTTTATCTTTTCCTTTATCCCAGCCTTTAGAAACTTTTCAGTTTGAAGAAAAATTGGAAACTAACAAATCTAGACAAGGGGACAGCAAACCTTTACCATAAACGGCTAGATGGAAAATGTGTAGCTTTTGTGGGCCATGTGGTCCGCTACAATTGCTTAACTCTTGTTGGAGTGTGAAAGCAGTCACAGGCCATAAGTATGTGAGCTTGGCTGTGCTGATAAAACTTTCTTTACGAACCAAGTGGTGGGTTGGGTTTGGTTCATAAGCCAGTCTTGGCGTATGGTTCAGTTTCCAAAATCCTATTTAGACTAGTAAACTTCCAAGCTGTTATTCGTTATTTATATTTAAAAAAATAAAACACAATGCACTAGTCTCCACAGCACTAAGGATGATAGTACACAAAGCAATGAAATGAACAAAATATAGAAAACTTACCAAAATGATTTCTTATCAGTCCCTAACTAATGATTCTGAGGATGGCTAGTATTGATTTGTTTTATGAAGCTCAAGTAGGAGCATAGTATATGATAAATAAATAAATAAAACATATTACATTGCGTTGTGGTCATTGCTTTGAGGAGGAAGAGAAGAGTTGAGTGAAAAAACATCATTATTAGACATGGGAGTAGTTGTTCTTACTTACCAATCCTGTACTGCATTGAATGATTCTTCGTTTGTGATGTCATACATTAAGATAAAGCCCATGGCCCCTCGATAATAGGCTGTGGTGATAGTTCTGTATCTTTCCTGGCCTGCTGTGTCCTAAAAAAGAGCAACAACCATCTCTCAAAAAATAAGGCAATGCATCTTCCAAACACAGAGTCTAAATTGTACTTGCAGTATATAGCCATATAACTTTTTTAATCTTGCGTTTCCTAATGATTTTCATATGGAAGCTCTACAATATTATGAAAAGTCCTTTTTTTATGGTAAAGATCTAGCTCTAAGTACCTTCTACATATTTTCATTCCCATTAAGCAGCATCTCACTGTAGAAAATAAAATAAAAAGAAAGATTATACACATCAAAATTAGCAGCTTTTTGTACAGTTGAAAAGCTAAAGAGTACATTAGCTCCATCATTATGTATTTATTACCTATCTACTAAGTCCAAGCCACTTTGGGGAAAAATAAATTTATGAAAAGGTCCCTGCTTCTCACAGCATGCTGTTTAGTCTCAGTGTATTTGATTGTGAAATGAGAATAAAAATACCTGCTTTGTGTGGATGTTTGCGTCACACAGATCTGGAGTTCCTGCTTTCCCATTAGATAGCTGGGGAATGTGGGCAAACCACTGAACCTCTGTAAAGTAAACCCCTCTAAAATCTAACATGCTTGTTAGGGTTACATTAAAAAAAATTCATGTAAAGAGCCTGACACACAACAAATGCTCATAAGTAGCAAATACTGGCTGTTGTGTCTGAAATCTGGAGAGGCCAGGCTCACACAACATGGGAGAGAGCAGCTTACAAATATAGGAGTTCAGGGCCTGCAACAGTTAAATCTGGGAAAGAAAGGCAGCTGCCTCACTGAAATAAACTGTTTATGTCATGTATACTGCACAGTGTTTAGCTCAGGAAATTATTCCTTAGTGCAGCCAACTTCACTTGCAACCCAATGCTCTTGGGTTTCACCCTTTGCCACTTTCCCTGCAGATGGGCTCTCTCTTTTCTTTCCTAATACTCTAGGTGCTTGGAAGCCATTTTGCACAGAAATGCTACCTTCTTTCTGACTTCAGTCTGGGTCCTCTCTCCCCCCTCTCTAAGTGATACATTCTTAGTACAAAGAGTGCATCCCAGTTACCCTTAGACATAATAGGCCTTGAAGGGAAAGCTAGTGTGTTAGATGACCCAAGAATAGGTTTCTTTATCATCAAAATGGAACTAGCATCACCTGGGTGTCACGATCGGGATGGGCTCATGTTGGAGACACTGTTTCTCTCCCATAGGACCCTCCTGCTTGGACACTTACACTCCACCATGGACTCACAGTGGCAGTGGGGAAACTCAGGATTGCTTACAATTTTCTCCTAATTTGTGTTGTATAGTCTATTTGGCCCCTGCAAATTCAGAGAATGGTCATCAACAAGGCTGAGGAAACCAGCAACAGATTTTGGGAGAATGCGGGGATGTGAAACGGAAGCTGAAAATTAGTTAAGGGTGTGACTTTTCATGAAGCCAGTGACAATTATATTCTACTCTTTGAGCACTGATAAGGCTGTCCTGATTAAAAGGTGCTTAATAGGTAATTTTAGGGAAATAAGGT